GTACCCTCGACCCTCGACATAGTACCCTCGACCCTCGACCCTCGACAAAAACCCAGACTCGTTTTTCGCTACTGTCAATCAAATGTTCGGCGGCTCCCCGCAGCTTCTGACTATGTTGTCTGTGCTGTGCTCAACGATTTGATTTGATTACCGCGCGCTCAACAGTACTCGGAAGCTGGGTGGAGCCACCGAACATTTGATTCACAGTAGCGAAAAACGCATTTGTCGGTTGAGCTTTGAATTTTAGAGTCCGCATGTTACTGAAAGGCGCAGTAAGACATTTAAGACTGGTTAACCATCAGTATTTTGGAACGATTTTGAATCTTACTGGTGCTTTTTACCAAATCAACAGTTAAGTTTTTTTTCCTCGCAAAACGTCTTATTTGGTATAATGTCTAAGCAACGCCCTTCAATTAATTTTCTAAATTTATTACGTTTTTATTGTTGGAAAGCGGTTTTTGTGGGGTTGCAGAAGCAAATCAGCACCCTAAAAGTCAAGGTTATTAGAACAAAATGGCTATTTAATATGAAACTGAAAGGAAAATAAATAAGGATTATTTGAAAGAAATGGATATTTACCCCTGACAAATAAATTGTGTGGTTTGATTCGCTCCCCACGCCTTGTTCTACTTGTTGTTTTTCTTTCGTTTTTTCGCTTTTAATGCAAGGTAATCTATATAACCGTAAAAGTCAAGTATTATTTTCAACCTAGTCATAGAAAAAATAAATAAAATAAATAAATTGTTGGCTTTCAATCACGACAAATAATTAATTACAATCTATATCCCCATCTTTAAATTAGCAGGTCACTATCTACTGAGAACAGTCTTTCAGTGTTAATTAGGTCTCATATATAATAGACATGATCATGATGATTACATTAAAAGTGAGATTAGCACGAGTGTACATGAGATCTCTGACAAGTATTTATTATGCAAGCAGGTGTATATCATTTGCTATTCTTGCGTACTGTGGGGTAATAAGAAGCTCCATTATTACAATTAGAGCTACAATTGGTGAGATTACAAAACTACGTTGTTTGAATCGTCAACAACGTGCCGCTTCGCGATAATATTACTACCCATAATAAACCTTGGCCCCATTCAGCTTCCTGACATTGTTAAATTACATACTTGCCAACTATTGTATGATTACATTATAGATCCGTCAAATTTCATCCTAAAATAAATGTAATTTAATTCAAGAGCTTATAATAATTAGTGTAACCATATCTTGCTATTATTCTCCATTTCCTCCTACTGTAATTGTTACAAACTGTTGTAATTCAACTTGAAGTAGAGGAATCCTATAAATAAATAAATAAATAAATAAACAAATAAACAAATAAATAAATAGATAAATAAATAAATGAATGAATAAAAAATAAATAAATGAATACACAAACAAGACATAAAATATATAAAATTAAATAATTCGTATAGCTCGAATATTAGACCTTTTCTTCTGATATTTGGTGGAAATGAATTCTTATACACCTGGTATAGAAACTGCCATTTTTGGTTTGGTTTGGTTAAATAATAGCCGAGAAATTCGCAAATATGTGCAATGTGCCCATACATTCTCTGTAATAGCGTTCCCATACATGCTCTGTAATTAAACAAATAATTTGTGCAGCTTGAGTATTTATAGAGCTGTTGATCTGCAATTTAGCAGACATCATCAAATGGTGCAATACTAGAGTTAGGCTTAATCTTAAACAGTGCCAAAAGTTGAAATTGAGTGCGCGAAAGCTTGGACATACGCCGAACCGTGAAACTCTTCCTATAATTCTCAATCAGATGAATAGAAACCCCATTTTAGTGGGATCAGTTAGCATTTGACTTTTTAGAAGAGGCTAACTTTAGCTTTAAACCGGTCGCAGTTGCAGGTTTCACGGCCAATCCCTCCACTTTTTCTTTATAAACTTTTCTCTTTGTCTCTTCGTAAATGTCTTTGGCAATAACTTGTTGTTCCTTCCTCCAGAATAGCAAGAAGTCAGAACTAAAGTGGGTCCAATGCTCAAAGAATTCTTGTGGTGGACTGCATGTAGCTGAGGGTTTAACACTGAAGTATCTCCATAGACTTGAGTACCTGTGAAGTGAATTGACGATGAACACCACAGGCCACAGTAAGTATAACTGACAACTTCACAACAGTAGGTTTCAATATTGACTGACTCAGCAAAGTTTTTACGGTAAGGTAAAGCCTGCGGTCTTGACGGGAGGGTCCGAATTCAGCGATGCTCGTACATAAAAAGACCAAGGGCTGATCTGATTCGTGTGAAAATGTTCAGAAAATATCTGACAAACACGGACTGGAAAGACACCATAAACACCAAAAGCGCAAACCTTGTTAAGAGTCGATTTAGCAGGCACAAATGACATTTTCAAAAAAAAAAGAAAACTAATCTTTTACATGTGAGTTAATTCTATTAACTTTGAGAAAAGTAAGGAATAACACTGTAAGATCATTTGGTGGAGTACCCAGTCCAAAACTAGAAAAAAATAGACGGTAATATAGCGCCGGTCTGATTAGCTGGTTTGTTATTGTTCCACCAAACTAGCTTAGTGGAACAAAGTGAAAAAGAGCAGGTCAAGAAACTTGCGTTACAAAAGCAGGTCAAAAATCGTATTGACGAAGTAAATCCGAATATAGACCATTTTCACTGTCGCGATAAAAAAGTAAATCGGAAAACCATTCAGTTGACGAAGTCAAGAAAATGTGATGTTGTAGGAGATAAATCTAGCACCTCTAATGCCTGATGAGGATAAAAACTTTGGTTTTCGATTTTAGAACTCTATGATGTCACGTGAAAACGATCTAAACGGAATATGCAAATAAATATATCACAAAACATTCTACTAAACAAAAGAAGCTAATGACGCAAAAACTGTACCCTTAAACACAAAACCAGGAACTAAATTGATTCCTACACGTCCTCTAACGAGATTTTGTGACGTCATGTGATCAACCTTTAAGCAGTTGTACAACAACCGTGCTATTGTTTCTGATAGAAGTGACAACCATGTGACATATATGTTCCAAAATGATGGTAGGCAAAAAATCTAACTCTCAAAATAACGTATATTTGAAACCTATCTCCTCCTGGACTTAAATTTCAAATATAATTCAATAATAACAATTTAAATGGTAAGTTACAGTTCCCACAGTAAAACATCTCACCTTTTCTTACATTCTGTTAGTGCTTGATCCAGTGCTGTTATCTCATCTTGACTCTTCGCCAGAAAGGAACTCATCACATCACTGAATGGCTGGTGCAGCTTTTCCTCGCTTTCTTTTAATACGTTTGAGAGCTTTCTATCACATGTATCTAGTTGCTTTCTCAGGGTGTTGATCTCTGCCTCTGTGTCTTCAAAGGTCACTTGGGATGCTGCTTTGAGGTCAGATGGTTCTGGCAGCGGAAACTTGGAATTTACAGTTCCAGCATTCTAGAAAAAGGGATAAAATGACAATCCCCCTCACCTTATACCCAGCTGACTACATCAACTTATAAGTACCGTAACAAGTCTTGCAACTGAGCAACCGTGATCTTAAAATATGCAAAGCAGTCAATTTGTATTTAGTCAGTTATACTTTCATCAGTCCAGCAGCATGTTAGAAGAAACAATGTAATGCTACAATTCTATTGATAATTTAAAATGAATTCGGGAAGATTGTTAAATTAGTCAAGAACAAGTGGCTCAGAAAATGAATCACGGAAGGGTGCAGAGGCCACTGAACTGAGTTCATTCCAATCCACTGGTCATGTGGTCTATTCCCGGGGGATTCGAGCCATGTGTCCTTTATTCATTTACACACAACACGTGTTGTACAAAGTTTGTAAAGTTGTAATTTGACAAGATTATTATTCAATAATAGTGTGTGGGTGGCACAGAGATCAGTGTGAGTATTTCTTAGTACTAGAGTCCAAAATGGCATGAACATTTTGTTTGGTCAAGTGCACTAGTCCATTGCATCTGTAAATTAAATAACATCACTGCCCAATGTTTGAACAAATCCAGAAATGATGCCACCAAAACAAATCGCTTAGCGAGTAAATGCAATTCAACACTGACTTCATTACGACTTCAGTATTCAGAACTCGCTTGAGCCTTCTTTGTAATTTGAATAACCCAGCGGTTCAATAACTATCATCAATGATTTAAGAGGTGAAATGATGATGATGCACGATGCCTAATACAAAATAGTCACAATACCCAGGGGCCCAGGCTCTATGCGTGATCCCTAATGTTCCATATTCCATTTTTGGATTCAATTTTTTATTATTTCCAAATGCAGTGCTGTGTTAGGATTGCCTAATAAAGAGATGGACTTTTCTAACCATGACAAACAGTTCACTAACACTTCAGATTGATATGGTCTTACCTTATCAAACTTTCTAATATAAATGTTTACAAGATAATGTAGCAGGTTAGTGGAATTGTCTTTGCATTTCACATCCTTAAGTTTAGGAAGGATATCCAACTCAAAACCATCTGCTTGTCCTCGAGCAATATTGCCACCATTCATATAATTTCCAAAGGCAAGTACCAGACCCAGAACATTGGTGACTTCCTTACTTGACTTGAGCATCTATAAAATAATTATAGATAGAGTCACTGAGATATTAAGAAGATCCTACAATAACTTTACCATTATGATCCAACAATAAACAACCATGAATATATCTCAATATATATAACTTTACTTTACACTAGAATGGGCACTCTTGCAACATGAGGAGGGAAACCAGAAGCCATAAATCAGCTCTATATTTTGGTTTACATTTGCCTTTACTTGATATCTTGTCAAGCACATCTAGTCAGATAGTCTGTCTGACTGGATCAATAAAGACATGCCCAGAAAAATTTCACATGTCACCGATAGGTTTGATACACTTTGACTGATGAACTAAAACAGAATGTTTCACATCAACAACCCCTTTACTTTCATGGAATTCTGGCTTAGTAAAAACTACAAGATTGCATTATGCTTTTACCTCAATTAACATCAGGAAGCCCATGCGATCAAATTACTCTGTGCTGACAAATCACAGAAACAAATGCCGAGCTCTGATCGCTACTTGCAACCAACTCATCAAAAGAACACGGTCTACTCACATCATAAAAGTTTGCAATAAATGTAAATGCACATGGCTAAGTTTGTCTTGTTGCAGTATTCCCCAGCCCGAAAACCCTAGATGGAGCAGAATTTGGGAGAGCTGGAAATGTTCTCCCTCACAATTAAGTTTAGTCTTAAGCTTAACAGTAAAGTGCAAGTCAAATATCACTCCACTATGTAGCCAGGTCCCTAAGCCTTAATTACTGTGGCCAAAGCTCTCTGCTGCCTACAGACTGCTTTATGTATACGAGTCTCAGTGATGACCAACCAAAGTTTGATGTAGGATATTAGATGACCCAAGCTTGAAAATCATTGAATTGCCACCTTAATTACACTTGATGATGATGCTGGCAAAGCTCCCTCAGACAGTATTTATAGATACATGTAACTGGATCGATCAGCACTCTTCTCTGAATCACCACACACAACTCAAGCTCGTATCCAGAACGTTAGAGTGGAAATGCTACACCTAAGGTGGGCTAAACACTAGTGGAAAAGGGGGAACTGGTGGTGGTGGGGGGGGGGGAGAAATTAAAGGAAAAAGAAACTGTAGAAAGAAACTCCCCACACTCCATGCTAATATAAGTAAGCTATCATTGTTGCAAATCCCCCTTGGTAGTGTTCAGTTTGTGAATAATTCGTTGATGAGTGAGCATTACTCTTAAACAAAATAATACATGTACTGTACACATGTAGATACCTCACAAACCAATCTAAAGTTGGTGAGCTTCTGTCCAATCTCTGACAGGCTGTCAGTAACTGTTGTTTTTAACATCATACAGCACAGCCGTTCCTCATAGCAGCTGATTCTTGATAAATCCATCAGGAATTGCTCTGGTCTGTCAAGTACTGCATCAGAATTTTTCTGACTGAAAGAAACAATCTTTTGAAGTTCTTCTTCTGTGGGCCTCTACATAAAAAGAAAATAATGACTTGAGGAAATGACTCTTGAGGAAAATGAAATCTTGTTCAACACAGCCATGGGAATTTGAAATATTCAATTAGCTTGAATTGCATTAATTTTTTTAATCTGTTACAAAACTCAAAACTGACAACAACAACAACAAAATTATCATTCTTATTGGCTTTATCTGTAGTTTACACCTTAAATAATAAAGTATATTGCTGTACAAGATGTTTAAGACACCCCCTGTATAAGACAGTGGGTTTGGGAAAGAGTGTATTCAGGTTATTACAGACACCAATGGGACATGCGTACATTGTGTAAACTGTGTATTATCCAGGTGCCTAAAATTAGCAGGCTCACAGACATATAAACAAAATAGACACACTCTTTATAGATGTAAAGACTAAAGCATACAATTAAAATGTAACTGAATGATGTTTAGTGCCTTGAGTTCAAACTGAGGAAACCTTACACTCATTCAAAAATTATACTCTAAATTGTCTCACACTAAAATTAAAGTTCTCTTGTCAAGTTCAAATTAAGCAACAGTGTAAGGAAGGTTAACTTTGCAAGCATGTCACTCAGGTCACGGAAAATATAACTTATTAACTCGTGCCCTGGCATATGAAGTGGGCTCATGTTAGAGAAAATAGATGAACTTCTTGTTGGAAAAAAATCTATAATAGTTGGGTGGCCAGCAGAGTAATAAGTTATAAGGTATCCCATAGTCACTTTAAGCCAAAAGGTGTGTATATCTAAGGGAATCGAGGTGTGGTTTGAGACAGAGAGGCTTGAAAAAGCCTTGAGACAGTGTTCAACTACATTGTATGCAATACACCATAATTATACAGTTCTTCCATACAACCTCAGTAATCAGACATTGGAATAGGCATGCCAGCTGTTGTTACTTCGTTATCCCTTGAAAAACTTACATGGCAACAACAACCACGTCCAACATGTCGACAAGTTTTGCAGTAAAAAACTCTCAGTGTCTGTTTTTCTCAAAGTACATGTAGTTAATGCTGCTTTGCATGAAACTTAATTACAAGAGAACATATTCCATTGTGAAGTCATTGTTCAACTGATCTTAATACCATTGGATATTAAATTCATTTCTTTCAGATGGTCTTTTTTTCAAGAGGTCAAGAAAGTGTTTTTCCTCAAGATAATTGAGGTTTTTAAGTCCTAGGTGTTCTTGTTTATTAACTGTGCTTGTCTGGCAGCTGAGAAGTTGACAATAATTATATACATGTACATGTAGTACTAGTGCTGCTTTCACATTTAGCAGTGATATACCTGTAGGCTGTTTGCAGCAAAACTTAAAAAACCCATCTTTTAAAACAGCTTTGAAATCCTTATCTGCAACATTTCGAGAAGCAAGCCCTCACCAAAAATGTTTTAATTTTCCCATTTTTGTCAAGTTACATGACTGTTTTACAATAATTGGTCTAGGTTTACAATTATTATTAGTAGGTTATACAATCATAATCTTCATTAACATACTCACAATTTCGTAGAGAGATTGCAAGTTTTCTTGATCCAAAATAGAGGTGTTCACATTATACAGTGAATCTTCTATTTCATCCATGTTGACATGAAGACTGCTGAGGAAGATTCCCACAGTCTGTGATCTCTTGTTATCCAGCAAATGAACAACCTCCTGTTTTGTTCTGTGCATGCATCTGGAAGAGAGAAGCTTTCCTTCTGTCTTTCTCCCCACTTTCGCAAACATTTCAGCAAAGTGATCAACATTGATAACTGGTTCTTCAAGTGTTGCCCACACTGTTTCACTTGCTTTTAATTCTGGGTTACAGTCTGACACTTGATTTAGCTGTATACGCTTCCAAAACAGTGGTTTCATTGGGGATGCTGTGCCAAAAACAATGTTTAAAATGATCAACAGACAAATCAACTGATAACAATCCACTGTTTGAAATACTCATAGCCCCTTGCAATAGCTAGTTCAGGGATGTCACAAATTTGTGAAGGAGGGAGAAAACAAAAGAAGTATATGTAGCTGGGATAGTGTTTCCTGACAACTTGTATGACACCAGCAGTACGTTCTCTCTCCAATCAGTACAAAATGCAGTCTGCAGACTGCAGACCAGGTACAAAATGCAGACTAGGTACAAAATGCAGACTGCAGACTAGGTACAAAACACAGACTGAGAATATAATGAGTCTAATACGTGTCTAATACGTGATACCATGCTGTAACATGTCAGTATCAAATAACATAGATCACAACACTTATTACATTTCTCAGTTACTACGTGCACTTTGATTTCCTAATTTAGCAGGCCGTACTCTAATGTATGGCCCGCTAAAATTTAAAGTTTTAAAAAGTTTCTAAAATTTTTTGTTGCCAAAATGTTTCGTGATTTATCACCAAGTGTTCTTAACTTTTATAGTAAGTAAAAGTTTAAAACTTTCTTTTACATTAAATTGTGTATTAACACGTGCTAAGGACTCCTTTTGTTTTGAAGCCATTCCGTGTGAATAGAAATTGTTCGTGAACCCATAAGACACACAGGAGAGATGTAATAACAGGGTTTGTACTCTTTGAAGCTTTTAAAATTCCACAGCTTTCAATGACCTTTTCCATGACCTTTCTGAGATTTCCATGACCAATGTTAAGCAGTTGTTCAAAATGTACAAAATTACACTCTGCACTATCTGAGATTGTCTCACTAGTTTAGACAATGGGTCTGGGTTATGTTATGAGCGGATGAGCGAATGGGTGGGTTAGTGAGAGATGTATTATGTGACGCCAATCAGATTGGGGCTACTATAAACAACCAATCAAATTACTGCTTATGAAGGTGAATCATGTGTGTGAAGATTTTAGAGCTGTCATCTTTGTTTTTGTACAAACAGAAACAGGCATTCTTGTACTGGCCACATCCTGACAGTGCCGATGCTGGGCTTACTATGGTTAAGCCCAGGACTTTGAAGNGGGGGGGGGGGGGGGGGGGGGGAGAAGGGCTTGTTTCCCAAACAGCGGCTGAAAATCGAGCCTACAATCTTGGACAGAATAAAAAGGAACAGTTAACCCCCTTCCCCCCCAAAGCAATGATGAAGGCACGAAGGAGCAAAAATGCGCCATTTTGGCATCATTGAAATCGGGGGGGAGGGGGGGGGGAGGGATGGTTCAGGTGTTCCATTTATTTTGTCCAAGATTGTATTCAGGCTGTGAACATCACGAAACAGTGACAGTGGGTAATTAGAAAGCCATCAGTCAACTCGTTTATTGTGAGTGAACACAGCTCTCTGACGCAGTCACGCGTGTCATCTGTTTACGGTGTGTACTCTAAGTTAAGGCATTATATGAGGGATATTTTCGGCAACAAGGAGAACATATAATGGTAAATTGTTATGCGACTTTTGGAAATAGCAGAGGAGGTGAGAAAGAGCATTGTCATCACCAAGAAATATCTTAGAACATGTCAGGGAGAAAAAGAATACCCGAGGAAACAAAAGCTACAATTAGAGCCCTTAAAAGTAGAACATATCTTATGCTAGACCAAATTGCTCAAGCATTTTTTGTAAACAATGTTTAACGGATTAGGTAAAAATGTCTTGCCTGTATTGGGAAGGCCCTTGATTAAAATGTTGCAAAATTTTCCCCACCCCTGTTCTAGGAGACTTTTCAAAGCCTTGGTTAAAACTTCAATTGGCATGTGGTTCCACATAGCTGTTGAGCGCATTCCGTCCACCGGCCACAACACACAGCAGTGCAAGGGTCTTGCAGACATTTTTCCAAGATCAGAAGTCTTGTTAGCTTACTTCTTTGTAGCACCTCACTTGCCTTCTCCATCCCCCATGCCATTGAAATGCATTCCTCTACAACTCTGTTTCCTCTGTTCATCACAAACTCTGCTAGATCGGTCTTTCCCTCAGCCTTTTGGGTGCTCGCGAGTGCAAGTAGTTCAGTTCGGTTTTGGATTTTCTTTTGAAGTATTATGTTTGACACTTCATAGCAACTTAAGCATCTTGATCGCTTTTGCTTTACCGATGTGTTACTGACGTTTCTCCCCATCGTCCGAAAGCGGTCATCTTCTTGATTTCTTTCTTTATAATTACTTCCTTCGCTTTCTCTGCCACTTGTGGTATCTGATGCTGAATTGTAAAAATCTGCGGTTGGTTGTTGTCGCTTTGCCCGCACTTGACTTGCGGCCATTGTTCTAGGTGGACCTGAGTTGCCTAAATCTGGATGGCCAGCAGACTGGATGAAATCTTCATCTTCTTTGGTGGTGTACAACCATGCCGAATAGTAGTTGGTGTGCCAGTTAAAAAAGTGAACATAAACATTCCACTTGTTCTTTAAATATTGCCATATCGGCAGCCACCTCTTAATCTTGTTTAGTTCAATGACCATGTGATAATGCTTCCCTTGCTTTTTAAGGTTTTCCTGGTGTTGTAATATTAACTTGTGGGTACCCCTCTGTGGAGTCCCTTACGTTTTCGTGGGCCACCACACATCTCATGAACATGTGAGTTGGCTTATGTTGGACATTGTGTTGACAGCGTTTAACGTTGCGTTGAGTATTTGAGCCTTATCTAAAGCTATCTTACAACATGGTGTCAG